GGACAGGGGAGCGCAGCTGCGTGTCGTTATTGGGGGTGAGCCAACGTGCACCATCCTGGTCGAGGAATTCAAGGAAGTGTCAACTTGAGGGGATAATTGTGTGTGTGTGTGTGTGTGTGTGTGTGTGTGTAAGTGTGTGTAAGTGTGTGTAAGTGTGCGTGCGTGTGAGCGCGCGTTGCGCGCTCGCTCATGTACAAGTGCTTGCGTGTGCACGTGTGACAGTCAGTCGTCGTCGTGCCCCACGTTGCAGCACGTCCCGCGCCCCGCCGCGCCCCTTCCGCCGACAACAAAACGCCCCCGCGCCTGCAATGTGCGCCCGCCACGCGCGGACCGCGTCACGCGCGCGCGCGGAGTCGCCGCGCCACGCGTCGAGCAGCAGGTCAAACGCGTCTGCATCGTACAGCGCCGCCAGCGCCGCCCGCGCCGCCCTCATGTCCAAGCCTGTGTCAAGGGCCGCCTGTATCTCGCCGTCACACAGGGCCCGACCCGGGCCCGCAAACGACGGCGCCGGCTGCAGCGGCGGCGGCGCAAACGCCCAGTGCGTGGGGAGGAAGGCGGCCGGATCGAGCGGCATGGGGGCGGCGCCCGGCGAGGTGGGGAACAGCGGCGGCGGCAGGAGCATCCCGCCAGGCAGCGGGTACGGCAGCGCGCAGCTGGCGGCGTTGAGGCCCTGCATGCCGCTCAAGCCCAGGAGCGGCGGCATGTGTACTAACGTGTGCGGCTGCCACTGCTGCTGTTGCTGCTGTTGTGACACTTGTGCCATCTCCTGCACCTGACAAGAGTCAGGGGAGCACACCCCAGATCCCTGCTGCTGCTGCTGCTGCTGCTGCTGCTGTTGCTGCTGCTGCTGCTGCTGCTGCTGCTGGTGGTGCTGCTGGTGCTGCTGCTGCTGCTGCTGCTGCTGCTGCTGCTCCTGCTGTCCTTGTCGCTGCTGCGGCTGCGGTGAGGGGGCGGGGGCATCAGGCTCTGGCTGCGCCTGCACTTGCTGCCGCGGCCGCTGGTGTTGCGCAGGGGCCGCCAGCGCTGGATTCTGTGGCCACTGTGGTGACAGCTGTGCCGGCGGCCGCTGCTGCTGCTGCTGCTGCTGCTGCTGCTGCTGCCGGTGCGCCTGCCGCTGCGGCCCTGGCGTCTTATGAAACACTGGAGCATGCTCCTGCTGCTGCTGCTGCTGCTGCTGTTGCTCCTGTCCCTGCTGCGCTTGCGGCGGCGGCGATGACGGTGTCTGCACCCACTCTGCTGCAGCCGGCAGCTGCTGCTGCTGCTCCTCCTGCTGCTGCTGCCGGTGCACCTGCCGCTGCGGCCCTGGCGTCTCATGAAACACTGGAGCATGCTCCTGCTGCTGCTGCTGCTGCTGCTGCTGCTGCTGCTGCTGCTGCTGCTCCTGTTCCTGCTGCCCTTGCAGGGGCGGCGACGCCGGTGCCTGCACCTGCTCTGCTGCAGCCGGCTGCGGCTGCTGCTGCTGCTGCTGCTGCTGCTGCTGTGGCAGGTGCTGCTGCAGTAGGTGCTGCAGCAGGTGCTGCTGCTGTTCCTGCTCATCATGCTGCTGCTGCAGCACGGGTACCCCAAGCTCCACGTTCTCCTGCATGGCCACCGCTTCCGCACAGGGCCGGCCACCCGTATGCACGTCCCGGCCGGCGCCGTTCTCCTGACCGCGTTGGGCCAATCCCTGTGCGTGGGACACGCCGGGGTCCTCGCCGCCGCCAACACCGCCGGCAGAGCTCCCGACCGCCGGCCCCAATACTGCCGGCTGGCAACAGTCCAAGAGATGCCGCTGAACAGAGGCTGGCGGCGCCAGCGGCGACGACGGCACGCAGATGCCAAGCTGCCGTGGCGATAAGTGCAGTGACGGCGGCGTGGCGGAGCGCGCGAGGGCGGCCGCCGTCTCCTCAGCACCTGGTGACTGCGGCGTCCGGTACGCTGCGCTAGGGTCGCTCCAGTGCTGCCTGCCGCGTCGCGCAAGCTCCTCATACGGCGCCTGTGGAAAGCAGGGGCGAGCGTGAGCGGCTGCGAGGTGGGTGCTTGAGTGCTGAAGTGTGTGTTGCCGCGCAGGGTGGACAGACAGACAACACAGAAAGAGAGGGCAGAGGGGGGAAAGAGAGGGGGAAAGAGAGAGAGGGGAGGGATAGAGAGGGGCGTGGAGCTCAGTGGCTTGTGACCGCGTCGTGCACTTGACAACGGCGGGACACGGTGCAGCGGCCGCATTGTGGGGCGGCAAGGGATTCGCAAGGGCAATGTCGAGGCGTTCAGGCCCTCAACACACGACACACAAAGCTACCTACACGTGTGTACATGCACAGTTCACACTCGCCCACACACAAATGCATACAGAGTTGAGGGTGACCACATATGAGAGCAAGGCGCACCCTCATGTCGCCCAGCCCAGTCCTCCACGCCTCCATGCAGAGCCTTGTTGCGTCCTGGTGCGGCAGGCCGGGGGGAAGCTGCCGCCGGTAGTCAGCCTGATGGATAT